GTGGGGTTGGGGTCCCACGTGTTGTGGGGAGGGGGATGTGGGGAGGGGGATATATTGGGGCCGCCTCCCCGTGGGGTGAAGGTGGAGGGGTGGGATCTGCCCCTGTATATCGGGGGGGTACGAATTTGGGGGATACATTGGGATCCTTGAATGAAGGGGATGAAGGAGGAGGGGTGGAGTCCCCCCTTCCTGGGCAGGGGGGGGAAATTGGGGTCCCTTCGTGTGCGGAGAGGTGGGAACTCCCCATAATTTGGGGCCCCTTCCCAGAGGTGGGTTGAAATCGGGGGTCCCATTCCCCCTCTGCTTACACCCCATGGCTCAGATCAGCCTCTTCTTCTAAGAGGGGGTTGGATCGGGGACCCCACCCCACACAGCCCCCCCCCCAGAACCCCCCCGCTCCCCGCAGGCCCTACAGCTTCGTCCAGACCCTGCATGGCAACAACGTGGCGGCCGCCTGCTTCGCCATGTCGTGCGGCGGGAGGGTGAGGTGAGCCCCCAGCCCCGACTTCCTGCCTTCCCCTGGGGGTGGGGACCCCCCCCCCTTCTTTATTTTTGCTCCCTGATGCTTTTTTACCCCCCACCCCCATAGATTTGAGGGCCAGGAGCGCTGGCTCTGTGCAGACTCCCGCGGGCGTTGGAGCCCCGAAGTGCTGCAGTTCCACCACGTCCCCGTGGTGGCCCTGGACCTCAGCGGCACCGAAGTTACCTACGACGGTTTGGACAACATTGGTGAGACCCCCACCCCCCCCCAGGGGACACCCCTGAACCCCACGGCGTCCCTTAAACCCCCTTCTTCTGCCCCCCTACCCCTCCAAGTGCTGCTGACGAAGCTGCAGCACCTGGACCTGAGCGGGTGCCCCCACGTGGACGACTGGGCGCTGGGGAGGCTGCACGTTTTTGGGGACAGCCTGCAGGAGCTGTCGGTGGCACGGTGCCCCCGGGTCACTGAGAGGGGATTGGCCACGCTGCATCAGCTGCCGTGAGTGTGGGGAGGGGGATGTGTCAGCTTGGGGGGGTGAGGGGAGGGAGAGAGCATCTCCCACCAGCGTATGGGGATGTGGACACCCCCTGAGCACAGGGATGGGGGTTTCAGTCTCATCCTCTTAACGTGGGGACAGGGATGGGGGTCTTG